CTTTATCTTACAAAACTTGCTTGACAGATGGGAGACTATAATTAAGATAGCTTGTCTTAAAATATATAAACTGATATAAAACCCATTAACTTGAAGGTGGGCGTGGTGGCACATTTCTGTAGTCACAGCTATTTGGGAAGTTGAGGCAGAAGGATTATAAGTTTGAAGCCATCTGGGGCAATTTACAGACACCATATATCAAAATAAAAAGAACAAAGAAATAGAACTCATTGGTAAAGCACGCCTGGGTTCTCTGCCTTCAATACAAAAGAGCAATAATTTGGTATGGCCTGGGGATCCCCAGAAACATAAGTAAGTGTCCTTTTGTGTAAGAGTAGGCATCCTTCACTGTCAGGGAGAATAAAGTTATTGGCTGTAGCAGAGTGGACCATAGACAGACACAGCAATTATAAATTCAATTCATATTTTGAAGTTCAGTTAAAATCAAGAGATTAATTTGGTTTATGATCAGCAGCTGTTTTCCAATGATGTTTGACAGCACTGAGTTTAAGTATTTATTCATCGATATTTAAGGAGCACCTTTTATTTACAGTCGCTGTGCTAAGTACTAATATGCGACAGTCAAAGGTGTCCATCTGTGACACTCACATTCTGACAGGTGGCCCAGACAATAAACAGATAGGTAGGCACTGTAGAATAACAAATACTGAGTATTCCTCTCGCCTTACCTCTTCTCTAACTGCCTCCTTTGCTTTTCTTCTCCTTCCTTCCTACATTTCTTCATCCTGACAATAAAATACACATATACAGAGACAGATGCACATGAGACAAGGAGACACAAGGCCCTAGCCATGTGCACGCGAGTGTGGGCATGCGCACACACGCACACACACACACACACACACACACACACATACACATACACACACACACACAGATTTGTTTTCTCTCATCCATGTTTTTTTTTTTGATTGATCCTAAATACTTGGATTTTGCCAGCATGTTTGTTTACACAAATGCCATTTAACAGTTGTGCAGAGATGACTCGCAAAAGGAGAAAGTGGGATTACTGAATATCCCTGAGTCCTGGTAGAGCTGAAGGCCCCACCATGGAAGCCTTCCTGATAGAACAGAGACCCAGCAGGTCTCCAGTTGCAGGCCCTGCTGTTGAAACAACCTAAACTGGAATGGAGGAGGAAGAAGGAGAGGCTTAGGGGCCGAAAATTCCCTGAGGGAAGCAAGAGAAAGGGAAGAAATGAACTAGTGCTGGAGAGGCCCTGAGAGGCCCAGAGGCCCTGGAGACCTGCCTTAGGCCACCGGATGGGATGAGTCTCCTGCAGAGGCTCCAGGGTGTTTGCTTCTGCAACTCCCTCTCTGGGCCTGTTGACTCTCCAGAAAGACTAGAACCTTCTCAGACCTGCCCGTGCTATGCCATTGAGCCTGAAGTCAACCCTGGGAGACTATATTCAGTGCCACCCTCTCTGGCCATGCTGACCACCCAGAGCAATAATTCACAGCTAAAACAATCTATGTTAATCCTCAGTATTTAGTCCTTTCCATGTGGTACTTTATTGTGCATTGATATCTTTTTTTTGTACCAGGAATTGAACTCATGACCTTGCACTTGCCAGGCAGGTGGTGATGCCACTGAGCTAAACCTTAGCCCCGATTTATTGCTTTGTTATTTGTATTTTTATACAAATGTAAATTCCATGACACTAGGTACATGATTTATCAGTCGCAAGTCTGCCGCCCAGTTCCTAAAAGAATCCCTGTTGGTTCATAGCCAGTGTCCAATAAATAATAGTCAAATGAATAATAAATGCCCATTTTATAGCTATAATTCCAAAATTCCTTTACCTTACTTTCTCATTAGTACTTAATTGTTAGTGCTTTGGAACATTATGGCTTTCTGTGTGTTATGGTATATTTTTGCTCTGTGTGTGAGACTGTTCTTTAGAAGGTTATGTAGAAAAGAGACTCTGATGGCGATATGAACGGTTAGAGCAGAAACCAGAGGGGAGCCATTATAAAGACAGAGGACTTGCTGGTGGGAAATATAGGTCAGGATCTATCTGCCTGTCAAGCTCAAGGCCCTGGGTTAGATTCCTGGGACCAAAAAGAAAAAAAAAATGAAGCCTAATAAGGCTAGGATGAAAAGGAAATGAGTCTGGAACCTGGGCACAGTGGCACAGGCTGCAGTTCCAGCACTCTGGGGGCGGAGGCAGGAGGATCACAAGTTTGAGGCCAACCTGGACAATAGAACAAACTCTCTCTCTCTCTCTCTCTCTCTTTCCCTCTCTCTCTCTCTCTCTGTCTCTCTCTCTGTTCAAGGAGGAGAAGGAGGAAGAGAAAGAGGAAGGGAGTGTGGCAAAGAGAACTTGGTATAGTTGAGAGTTGGATTTTTTCCCCCACAGTGCTGAGGGTTGAACCCAGGCTACCATACATGCTAGGTAAATGTTCTACTATGGAGGTACATCCCCAACACCTTTAATTTTTTTTTTTAAATTTTGTGACAGGATCTTACTAAGTTGCTCAGCCTGGCCTTGAGATTATGATCTTTCTGCCTCAGCCTCCTAAATATCTGGGATTACAGATCTGTACCACCACTCCTAGCTGTTTTGGAGTATTTTGCTTTCAAGGTGCTTCCAGAATGCACAAATGGAGTTTCCAATAAGTATTTGGAAATTGATCTTGGAGCTCAGGAGATAGGCAGGACTAGAGATATATGGTTCAGAGTTTTCTGAATACATGTGATGGATAGAGTGTTGGGAAAAGACAGGAAAATCCGGAAATAAGAGGAAAGATCAAAGTTACAGTATTTGGAGAAGCAATGTGCCCAGTAGTAAAAGCTTTGAGACTTTAGGTACATTACTAAGGTTTTCAATGTCTTGGTTTTTACATATGCAAAATGGGTTGTTTAATAAAGCCTATCTTATGAGTTGTTTAGAGGATAAACTTACTACACACAAAGTGCTTATTTAGTATGGTGCCTGGCACATAACCCAGGTTATATCATTGTTTTCTATGGCTGCAGTTTGGTCAAAGATAACAGAGAAAAATAACCCAGTGAAGCTTACCGGGAAAGTGCTATCCAGGCCACAGGAGGAGACGGAGTCCAGAAACTGAACGGGTAGACTGATAATGAAAGTGTCACCTCGAGTTCTCGCACTGAGGAGCCGGGAGGTGTCTGGCTGTGCTACTCAGGCAGTCATTTGTGTCCTTAGAAAAAGGGCAAGGGTTTAAGAGAAAGTAGAAATGACCTCGGCTAAGAGATGGTGAGATGGCCACTTTCACTTCCTCTTTACTTCAGGGATGATATAAAATGAGTAATTTTTATTCATAAAGAAGAGGGAAAAACAAGAGAGGACAAAAAAATTTTGAAAGCTAAAAAGCTGATACTTGAGTGTTAATTTACTTAATCCAACTAAGAAACAGAGCTACGGCTACCGCAGAGGTGGCATGGAAACAAGTTGAACTGCTTGGCAGATACTCCAGAAAAACCCAGACACTGAGGTGTCAGTAACTCTGAAAGGAGGGCTGGGAAGTTAAGATGAAAAGAGAAAGTCTGAGTAAGGCCTAGTCATCCACACCTGTAAGCCTGTACTGGCAGCATTTGAGTGGCTGAGGCAGGAGGATCACTAGTTTGAGGCTAGCGTGTCTTTTTTTTTTTGTCTTTTTCTTCAGGGATCGAACTCACGACCACACACTTGCAAGGCATGTGCTTATGCTGCTGAGCTAAATCCCCAGCCCCTGAGGTCAGCGTGTCTTACACAGGAAACTCAAGGCCAGCCAGGACTACAGAGTGAAATCTTGTCTTAAAAACAAACAAACCCCAAACCAAAACAGCAATAACAAAAACTAAACAAAAGAACCCAAAACTACTGAGAAATCTGCTTAAGAAAAAGTAAGCGTCACCCTCATTCCCTCATTCTGTCCTACTGGCCCCTGTCCCAGGCCTGAGGAACCAGGTGAAAGTAGTCCCCTCTCACTGGACTGAAGAAGTCTGGGAGCAGAGTGAATGATTTTGCGGATACCATGATTAAAACAGAAGGCTTACGTGCAAGGGTACCTGGTGAGATAAAAAAACAAAACCATGATGAATGGCTGCCAAGTGCTGTCCAATGGGAAGCAGGATCTTCGATATGAGAAGCAGCACTTAAAACCCTAGCGACAGTATGTGCTACAAATTTCAATTTAGTTGATGCAATCAGTTCAGTGAGAGCTAACAATTAGTAGAAGATGTTTTGTTTTTGTTTTTATTTTTGAGGCAGCATTTCCCAATGTAGCTCAAGTTGTCCTCAAACTCAAGAAGATTCTCCTGTTTCAATTTCCTGAATGCTGGGATATAAACATGCACCACTCATGCCTGGCTGAAGGTATGTTTTAAAGTGTGCCATAAATCATGAACACAAACAGTGCGTTGGTATTGTGGATCATGCTGCTTAAGATTCCAGTTCTAAGAAATGTCATCATGGGAGCTGAAACTTGGATCTGTTATTATGGTCTCAAGACCAAATATCAGAGTTCTTAGTGGAATCATTCTCTTGTCCTCTGTGTGAAAAAAGCATGTCAACCAAGATCCAACATCCAGGTGATGTCGATTGTATTTTCTGATTTTGATGGAATTGTGAGAGCTGAATTTGTACCCAGGAACATTATGATGAATTCTGAATATTAATAAGGCAGATGGAAACATTTAGCAAATGTCTAGAAAACAACTTGACAACGGGCCAGGTTTCATCACCCATCATGAAAAAGCTCAGTGTCACACATTACCCCTGGAATAGCAATTCTTGTCAAATACTGTGTGTCCTCAACCCCCTTATTCACTGCATCTTCCACCTGTGACTTCCGGCTCTTCCCCAAAGTCAAAATGACCAGGAAAGGTAAAAGTTTTAAATCAATTTGGGACATGAAGGCGGCCCCAACAGCTCATAAAGAAGACATCCAGAACTACTTCAAAAGGTGGCAAGAGTGACAGGATAAGCATATTTCAAGTGAGGGGGAATAATTTAAGGGAAATTGATTGCAATGTCTTTTACTGTAATATGTTTTTTATTTAAACATTGACTGTATGTTTTGATCACACATACACACAAAAACAAACAAAAAAATGAAACCCTTGCTGAACAGTGAATTATGTCTGTCCCACCCTTTGGGCTTTTCTCGGAATGCTGCAACCAGCGTTGCGTCTTCTGGAGAGGATAGGATGTTTTTCTCTGTGTAAATGAATATTCTGGAAGAAAAGACTTAAAGATACTGACAGGAGCCTCCCACTGGAATGCCTCAGTGAGAGCGTCTTACAGCATGTCCTCCAGTTGATAAACCCTGTTCAGACAACCGGATTTCCATGGTCTTCTCGGTGTGTGTCCAGCACCTTAAGAAGTGACAACCAAGAATCACTGGTGATGTCAGCTAAGCAGCTAACATGAAAGTTAGAGACTAGCAAACAAAATCAGCCTTGGAAGAAAGCAAGACAAGGTAGGATGAAGAAAAACTTAAAAAAATGGAACATTCAGAAAACAAAAATGAGTTTATGAACTATGTGTAGGTACTAGGGAAGCATTTGCTGAATGACCCATTAAGGCTGGCCAAATAAAGCCAAGGCCACCCTCCAGAACATGCACACACAGTTGGTGCTTGAATCGAGGATATTGCAAAGGCTTCTCTCCCATATCGGAGGGGACTTGAACAGCTGGGGCTGAAGTATCTGTGTCATCGTGACCATTCCTCCCTCTCTGCTTTGCTTCTACATCATGTCTACACCATTGCTATGGTTTAAATATATATGTTTTTTTTCCAAGTACTTATACTGAAATTAAATCCCAAAGTGGCTTTGTTTTGTTTTCCAGTGCTGGGCACGAACTCAGGGCTTTCATATTGGGCTACATCCTCAATCTATTTGTTGTTTATATTTTATTTGGAGAGAATGTCTTGCTAAGTTACTAAGTTGCCCAGGCTGGGCTTGAATTTGTAGTTTTCCTTTCTCAGCCTCCCAGTGTGCCAAGATTATAGGTGTAAACCACCAGATCTGGCTAAGGTGATGCTTTTAAGAGATGGAGCTGGTGAGGAGGAGGTACCAGAGCAGACAGTTAAAAAAGAGACAGAGAAATGGGTCCTGGGATCAATGTCCTTGTAAAAGCAGCATCAGTGAACCACCTGGCTCTGCAATCTCCTCTGCCATGTGAGGACGCCAGTGTTTGTCCCTTTCAGCAGAGGACAACACAGCTCCAAGGCACCAAGCTGAAATGCTGTCTTCTGGTGCCTCCATCTAGGGTGTCCTAGGCTTCAAAACTGTAAGTTATAAATTCCTGTTGTTTATAAATTACCCTGCTAAGGTATTTCGTTATAGAAAGCAAGGATCACAGACTCTTTTGGTCTCCTCGCAAAATCAGCATCATTTCATTCTGAAATCACTCATTACGGTCATAAAGGGTCACCATATCAAGCAGAGGCAATCTAATGGACGGGGAAGTGTAAGTTTAATTTTGGGAGTGTGAGCAGAAGGGATGCAAGAAATCATCCCATCATCCTAGCTCTTACCAACACTGGCTGCTGAAAGACAACAAGCCAGTTCTGAAGGAAACTATTTTCAGCCTGGAACTGGGTGCCAGCCAAACTAGGATTAAAGGGTAGAGACAAGATAAAGTCATTTGTACACACTCAACTTCTCAAGACATTTATTTTCTATATTCCTTGAACTGAGAAACTCCTGGGAAGTATATTCTAACAATGGGAAAGTATAAATAAAGAATGAAGGAGACTGGGTCTCTGGTGGTGCATGCTTGAATCCCAGAACTCTGGGATTAGGGATCCCAGAGGCAGGGATTGTAAATTCAAGCTCAGTTTGGGCAATTTAGTGACTTAGTGAGACTCTGTGTCAAAATAAATGAAAAATAGGCCAGGATGTAGTTCAGCATGAAGGCTGTACATTGGCTGCCCTTCTTCCAAAAAAGAATGAAAGAGATTCACAACTGAGAAATTTCTCGGACACTACAACAACAATGACAAGAAACAAAAAAACAAAGAAGGAAACAATTAAAATATAAAGAAATATAAAACATAAAAAGAAGAAGTGTTATGTACATGTACTCCTCCCCCTGATGAATATAATGATTATGTGCTGTGCACATGCACTAATAAAAATAAATATTAAAAAAATTAACCCAAGATCTTACCTGTGTTAGGTGAGTAAGCTCTGTAGGCTTCCCCTACATCCTCAACCCTTTTTATTTCAAGACAAGGTCTTGATAGGTTGCTCTGAGTCTTAGCAAGTTTGGAAGAAGCAGCATGACATAATGGGCAAGAATTTGCCTTTAATGTTTTTATTTCTGAACACAGGTGGGAAGGAGATAAGAGTGGATGAGATTGTCAGGAAGCTGGAACTCAGGGAGGTGGAAAGTTGAGATAGCCATGGTGTTTTCTCCGTGAGTAGGAGGCTGGTTATTTTCTTGTGAACACAAAGGAGTGAGGGAAGGGGTGGGTCTTTACCAGGACTGGCAGGAGGTGGAGAGGGTGTAGGAAATTATTTGCCAGGTTTAGTAAATGAAAATAGTTTACCCCGTTACATTTCAAATGCAGATTAACAATTTTTTATCTGCTTCCTCCAATTACTTGGTATTTTAACTGGCAACTCTTAAGGACAAATACTAAAACACGCATAGACATGCAAAACTAGCCAAGTGTGGTGGCTGATGCCTATAATCCCAGGATTCTGGGAGGCAGAGGCAGGAGAATCATAAACTGAGCGCAATCTGGGTAACAACCATACAGGGAGATGCTTTCTCAAAATAAAAAATAATTAAGTGTATAGCTCAGCACAAAGGACCTGAGTCCAATACCCAGTGCTGTGAAACAAAACAAAATAAAAGAAATGATGTAACCTTAATGTGATGAGAAGTAAGATAGGAACATCAGGCTGGGTTTCCAGGCAGTGGTTAAAAAAAATAGGCAAGCAGCCAGAAGATAACTTGAGGATGCACTTCTTAGAGGCTCTCTTGAAAGCAACGAGAAGAGGCATGTGGGGAATGGAACTGTCAGAAACAGCTCTACCTGCTCTCCACTTTTGCTTGAGTGGTCATCTACTATCTATATCTATATCTATATCTATATCTATATCTATATCTATATCTATATCTATATCTATATCATCTGCATCTATATCTATACACATGTGTATATATAATCCAGTATTTCATATATATATTTTTGTATACAAAAGATACACATTGCTAAATAATCATCTGCAAAATATTTGGTGTCTTTACAACGTAGGATGAGCACCGAACACTGGTGCTCACAGCAGAAGAGACTGATTTCCCTCGTAGTGCTCTGACATGTTTGAGGTTTATTTTGGTGGTTTGGTGTAGTAGTTACAAGTCTGAAGCCTCTCTATGGTCACATCCCACATTAACCAGCTTGCTTAATATGTCAAGAGATTCAGTTTCCTTGCTTGTAAAATTAGAATAATAGTACATAACTTGTAGGGCTGCAATGATAAGCCTTAAGTGAAGTGATCCCTGTAACACTTAGGATCAGCTATACAAATACTCAAAGTACAACTTTACATTAGATATCTAAGGCAAGCAGTGGGAAGCTTAATATTTTTTGCCAGTATACAGATGAATACACTATATATATACATGCAGAGTCAGGACATAAGTGGGTTTTAAAGGACATTCACTGGCATACTTTTGTATATATTTTGTAGAGGTGTACAGACAGAAATGAGTACCAGTTCAGAACTGGAAACCTAGACATTTATTTCTCTTCAGGAACACACATTTCAATTCCTTAACTGTTCATTGATGAGTGGCATTTGATCTAAGAGACAAGGCATCTGCGGGACTTAAATTTTGGAATTGAGGTCTGCTATTCACTGAGCGGTGGTGTTTCCCTCACCAATAAAAATGGCCAACAAAGCTTGCCTCTTTCACAGAGAGGGTGTGTTAAATTAGTCTATCACATACTTTATACAGTCCAGGTGCCTATTTCACTGCAATTCCTTTCCCTTTCAAACAAACAAACAAACAAACAAATAAACAAACAAACACACCTCATGGACTAGTGTGTGGGAGGAGGAGGTCACTAATTTTTCATTTTGGCTGTGCTAGATGGACACGGCATTACCTTTTCTTCCTTTCTACTCCCAAGGACAGGATTTCTATGTAGTTCAGATGTGCCTTGAGCTCATGATACTCCTGCCTCAGGCTCCCCAGGGGTGGGATTCATAGGCCTGTGCCACTGCACCCAGGTTCTATCTCCCCTTTCACTTGAAGTAACTCCTCCAACTCCATCAGTTCAGAGTCTGGAGGCCCGTTACTTATTCTGTATTGTATGTGTGTACTGTTGTATGCAAGCCCTACCATTTGCAGGTGTGTTAGGTGTAACGCTGTCGATGAATGCTTCACGGCAGCTATGAAATAACTGGCTCTTTTTTTTTTTTTTTTTTTTTTTTGCTAACTCATAAAATCTCCGAAACCAGGGGTCTGTTGTTTATTCATTCACTTGCCTTCTGAGTCATTCAGGTACAGGGTGTGTCTGCACAGTGGAGGAAGTTTTGAATTCACATCTGCCTGGATAGGAAGGTAGTGCGACCAGGACTGGGTGGAAACTTCATTTTAACTGTAGGGAGGCCAGGGCGGTAGTCCTGAGCCCGCCACATAAGCAAATCCAATGAGGTCGACTCTGGGATTCACATTCTTAAATAGTATCAAAACAAAAGTGAAGGGTAGGTGAGGTGCGAATATTGAGGTTTGGGGCCCTCTAAATTGCCGTTTAAGTAGAAGAGAAGGGCGCCCACTCTTAGCCTTTCAAGCTGCACTGGTCCACAAGGCTCTTGCACTTGTAAAATTCCTGCGCAGCCCAAGGTTTTCAGGCCGGAGCCCCCCTCAAGGGCCTCAGCTCTGGCCAGAAACTGGGTCACAGTAGCTGACGCTGTGCCCATTTGAATGCATGGAACCACTGCCCATTACCAGATCCTGCTCTGTCCTATTTCACCGCTAGCCAGAAAACGCCACTTTCTGCTCCTCTGCCTGCAAATTTCGGGACTTCGTCGGATTAACAGTGGAGAGGTGGAGGGGGGCTTGTGGGGTCCTATTTCTGCCCATTTTCCCTTTCCTGCCGCCGGCCTCCTCCATACCTCACCTCTTCCTCCTTGAGCGAGGTCGACTGGCCAGAGGCTCCCGCGTCCCGGGGGCGCAAGGCCATCAGCTCCGGAAGCTCGGATCCTCGAAGGACTGCAGAGTGGGGAACGGGGACATGCCACCCTAGACACCATATCTTTTGCTGGCCTTAAGACTTTTTGAGTAGTTTTTAGAAGCACCTCACCTCCCGTCTTAAGCAGGGCTCAGGGAACCCTGTCCAGCGCCAGAGGGTTGCTGAGAGCTGGTGAGAAACATGCTTCATGCATTAGAATTCAGGGGGGACCAGGCTCCGCCTTGGTGGGGGAGGGGTTCGCTTTCGCAAGTATATACATATGTATTTTTTTTCTGCCGCCCCACATCTTCCCTGGAGCGCGCGTCTAGATCGTGCCGATCTTGGGCCCCAGGGGCTAGCCGAGCGCGTGAAAGCTGGGAACGTTAACCCCTCCCAGTCCCTTCCCAAGGAGCCACCCTGCTTGCCGCGGCTCTCAGCGACTTTGCCTTGCAGACACGCGCGGGCAGCAGCGAGCTGGGCTGGCCATTGGAGTGCGCGGCAGTGGAGGGAGGGATCCCGGCTCGAGTAACTTTGCCAAAGCGCGACGCAGTCTGTTGGGGGCGGCAGCAAGATGAGGAGCGCGCGGCGCGGACCCGGAGCTCCCCGAGCGCAGCTTCGTCCAGCCTGAGCGAGGTAGGGGCGCTGGGGCTCGGGGTGGCGCTGGCCGGTAGCGCGGGAGGCCCCCCGCGGAGGGCCTCGGTGTCAGAAACAAATTTTTAAATTCGAAGAAGCAAAAACTTTGGAAACATCCATTTCAGGGGGCCTGAAAAATAGCAGACCTGGGCTACTAGGGAGCCCAACTCAATGGACTTGTTCTCGGGGCAGTCGTTATTTATGGGGCTGGACGGGCTCGTCCCCAGTGTAGAGCCCACTGGCTGGGAGACGGGGTGGAAGCTGCCTTTCGTCAGATGCTTAGTTTTGGAAATCCTATAGACAAAGAGCTTGGGGACTGGGGACGCGTTTAAACTCGCATCGCCTAAGGACTGTGTGTAGAATTAGGAAGGGAGAAATGCGGAGCTGCGGGAGCTGGCAGCCGCCGTCCGGGAGATTTGGTGGGAGTTCCCTGCCTCTCTGTTCGTCTCCCCCCACCCCCCACGGTTGCATTTCGTTGAAACATTTAAATAGCTTAAAAGTACACTTTTGCTGTCTAGTGCTGAGTTGTTCCTTTCCATTTTTTTTTTTTAAACTTCAGGGAGAAATGGCATCGCGTTAGAGGAATGCCAGTAAATAAAGCTGTCCAGGCAAGTTTAGCAATGCACCAGACATTGTGTGTGTTTCTGCAGAGTAGTTTTGCCCTTGAAGTTAGCATATATTGCTAGCATTTGTAATACAACTTTTCGTTTGTGTGTACATGTGCTGGCTAAAAAAAAAACCCCACACATTCCATTAACGTATGAAACTTCTGGGGTTTGCTACAGTCTCTATGAATGATTTTCACTGAATACCTTTAAATATAGCTGCAGTAAGCTTGCAGGAAAAAAAAAAAAAAAGAAGAAGAAAGAATAGGCAGTTTCTTCACGGAGGAGGCGAGGCGCTGAGCTTTCCTGTTTACCGCAAGGTTGGGGCGCGCCTGGGGGCCCACACCTCACTGCACCCTCGGACCTCCAGCACACCTGCTCCTAGAGAGTTATTAATAGAGCCCAGAAATTACGCTGTCAAATGATTTTCGTGCAAACCTATTTTCTTGCATGGCAATTAGGAGGTGGTGCTCTTTGAGCTTGGGAGTTGAGCTGGTAGACATGGAGATGTGCGTTCCTGCCCCCAGACTTTGCAGTTGGGTCATCTCAGAGTAGAGAACTCAGACTGGTGGTGAGCACAGCTGAGCTGGCGGCCACTTCAGAGAGTCTTGGAGAATTTGGAAGTCAGGGAGGAGGAGAGAGTGGGAGAGAGCTGAGGGAGGGAATGGAGCAAAGTAACTGTCACTATAGGGAAAGTTTTCCTCTCATCCCGATGGAATTTCATTTGGGTAAGTTTTATTTTTTTCCTCCCTCTTTGACTAGAAATAATTTGATTTTTAAAAAATTATTGTGCTCTCCCCAAGTCTCTTTAAAACATTATCTGCCACAGCAAAATTGGAGCAATGCCTTAGCTAGAATGAATTACGCCTAATGCTGTGCTTTTTTTTCTCTAACTCTCTTCTCTTTGTGACTTCAGGCTGCTGTTTCTGAGGCCCACTCCAGCCAAGGAAAAGCCACACAAAAAGCCTGAATCCCTCTCACTGAACCCTTTGCCCGTCGTGTGAAGGCAGGTTTGGAACTTGCCCTCTAGCGTTGGCCGGGAGAAGTGGCATCCTCCAGGTTCCTGGGGGACACAGCCCTGCACTATGGTGTCTGCCAGCAACGCGCAGGTCAAGGCTGTCCACAGTCCAGTCTCTGACTATGTCAACTATGATATCATTGTCCAGCATTACAACTACACAGGAAAGCTCAATGTCAGCCATGATAAAGAGAGTGATGTTAAGCTGACCACTGTGGTGTTCATTCTTATCTGCTGCTTCATCATCCTGGAGAACATCTTTGTCTTGCTGACCATTTGGAAAACCAAGAAGTTCCACCGACCTATGTACTATTTTATAGGCAACCTCGCCCTCTCAGACCTGTTGGCGGGCGTGGCCTATATAGCCAACCTGTTGTTGTCTGGAGCCACCACCTACAAGCTTACCCCGGCTCAGTGGTTTCTGCGAGAAGGAAGTATGTTTGTGGCTCTGTCTGCCTCCGTGTTCAGCCTCCTGGCCATTGCTATTGAGCGCTACATCACCATGCTGAAAATGAAACTCCACAATGGGAGCAATAGCTCTCGCTCCTTCCTGCTCATCAGTGCCTGTTGGGTCATCTCGCTTATCTTGGGTGGCCTGCCCATCATGGGCTGGAACTGCATCGGCTCTCTGTCCAGCTGTTCCACAGTGCTGCCGCTCTATCATAAGCACTATATTCTCTTCTGCACCACGGTCTTCACTCTTCTTTTGCTTTCCATCGTCATCCTATACTGCAGGATCTACTCCTTGGTCAGGACTCGAAGCCGCAGGCTTACCTTCCGCAAGAACATTTCTAAGACCAGCCGCAGCTCTGAGAAGTCACTGGCATTGTTGAAGACCGTGATCATCGTCCTGAGTGTCTTCATCGCATGCTGGGCACCCCTTTTCATCCTTCTCTTGCTGGATGTGGGATGTAAGGTAAAGACTTGTGACATCCTCTACAAAGCCGAGTACTTCCTGGTGTTGGCTGTGCTCAACTCTGGCACCAACCCTATCATTTACACTTTGACCAACAAGGAGATGCGTCGGGCCTTCATCCGGATCATGTCCTGCTGTAAATGTTCCAGTGGGGACTCCACTGGCAAAATCAAGCGGCCCATCATCGCAGGTATGGAATTCAGCCGCAGTAAATCAGACAACTCCTCCCACCCCCAGAAGGATGATGGGGAGAGCCCAGAGACCATTATGTCTTCTGGAAATGTCAACTCTTCTTCCTAAAGCTGGAAGCTGCCATCTTCGGGAAGTGCTCTTACATGGCCACCCACTGCTCCCTGAATTTGAAACAAGTCTTTGGGCCTCAAGAGGGGTCAGCAAGGAGCTGCAGGGTCCATAGAGAGGGAGGAAGGAGGGGGAGAACTCAGAGCCTGGTGGTGCCCCAGTTGGTGGGTAGAGTTAGTTCCTGTGAACAATGCACTGGGAAGGGTGGAGATCAGGTTCCCGCCTGAGCCTATTTCCTCTCCCTTTGGAGCTTTGATTTTGCACTGAGCCAAAGGTCTAGCATTGTCAAGCTCCCCAAGGGTTCGCTTGGCCCCTCCTCCAAGAATAAGATCCCCAGGAGAAAGGCTCTGTGTGTGGAGCTTGGAGGAGATGTTTTCGTTCACTTCAGTTTCAAACACAAGTGTGTGCACTTCTGCTTGCCAAGGGATATTCTGCCTCTCCCACCCTCCCTTCCCCTTCACCCCATCTCAAGATTCTTTTACTTTATGGTATAACTACCTGATGTTCATCAGAGCAGTGATTGTGGCTTGCTGTTCTTGGTCATCTGTAGCAGGCAGGTTATGTTGAGTAAATAGGCTGTGAAGATTTGGAGATGGTTTGGAGAGGGAAAGCAATTTAATTTGCTGAGGCCAAAGTTTCCACTTAAACTGGATTAGTTGCTTTTGGAATTTGCTTGAAGTCACATCGTAACAATGAAATGTGTTACAGTGTCATAGCAATTGTGGCTGTAATCAGCATAAGGAAGTCCATTTTATCTAAATGGTATCAACCAGGACCTTTAGTGTCATAGGAGCAACAAACAAAGAAGGGGAAAACTGACTGGGAGTAAACGTTTGTAAAACACAAGAGATTTCTTCATGACTGTCTAACAAATACAACATCTGCCTTTGGCACTTTTGCTGATGTTTATTTCCAAGAGTGTAATTCATTTCAACCAACAAGATGGTTATATTTGGTTGTGTTAAAAGTATTTTCTATGATTTTTGAATGTATTTGTTTCTGCAAAGGTCTATTATTGAATTTTTTCTAACGGTTAACACCACTGAATGTGTTTTTCTTAAGAAAGGTCTCTTGGCCCTTAAAAGCATTACTTTAACTTATAGGGAACAATGGAATTTTTTTCAGTACAACTGTTCATTAGAGAGTAATTGAAGGTGTGTATAAGTGTTACAAAAAATAAAAATACATTACTGTCTTTTTAGCATGGTTTTCAGTGCAATTAAACCAAGAAATGTCTTTTTTAAAAAAATAGTATTTAATAGGTTTCTGACTTTTGTGGATTATTTTGCACATAGCTTTATCAACTTTTAAACATTAATAAACTGATTTTTTTAAAGAACCTTTTGTGAAGAGCATTTTTAAAAATCATGACTGAGATTTTCTCTGACTCTGTGATTCTTTAGGATGAAAATTAAGGACAAATTTATGTTATATTTAAAGGATTTCACCTTGATAAATTAGTGTGAAAAAAATTGTGGTTTGTGTAGAAACTGGTGTTTTTCAGGAAGAGAAACTTCAATAAATTAACCCTGAACAGTGAAAATGAATGAGATTTTAAAAAAACCACTAACCTCCTAAATACCACATTGGCAAGCAAATGTAATTTTTAAATTGCATTGAAGGCAAGCTAACGTAAGTATAATAATTCTGTTTTAAAACACATTTTTTTAAAAGGATTAACAGTGCAGTAGTAAGTCTCATTTAAAATGCGACACAGGGCTTACCCCTAACACACCAACAAAAGTGTTCATTCTCGGCCTCCCATGGGACTGTAGGTATGAGATAATATTAAATCATTTAAATTATTTAAGATACGGTTTTGTTTCCGCAATCTCTCTTCTAAATATAGGAATACATGATATACATGAAGTACTGAACTAAAATGCAAGCTGAGTAGAATAAAACCATTTATTTGAAAACTATTCATTGTATTGGAAAGCGTTAGCATTCTTGGCCATTAACTCCTCCAACTATAAAATGAAAACAAGGGTACTTTGTGAGCTTCACGGAATTATAACATCAGTTAACTCTTGTTTTGGTATTATTGTCATCTTTCTGGGGGATTAAATCAAAGTATTTTGATGGATTTTGTTCTCGAGCCTTATTGTTATTTTCAGGTTTTGTGAAAGTGTCATTGAATGTGCACAGGACACAGTTGGGACGTGGAGATAAACCTCACCTAACAGGGTAGATGTCATTTCTGGGTAAGGTTAACTGTGGGAAACAGAAATGTATTCACTAAGGAAACCTTAGGTCACAACCTCCAGTTTCCTGAAGGAAATGCCAAAAATGCTCCAAAGACAAAAGGCTGGAAACAAACTGGAATGTCTCTGTCCATCTGTCTGCTGAGGCGGAAGGAATGATTTCATGTTACACTCACTTCCTAGAACTTTCCTTACAGAGTGCAGTATAATGGAAAAGAGTCCATTTTGTTTCAGTGGATGATAAAATGGTTTGTACTCTTATCTTTATAAGCACAATGGTGACTCATGACATGGGGGAAGATGGGATAGGGGAACTGACTGTACTGAGGAGTGGGGGCCTTACGTCCCCACTTGAGAGCACGTTGTGTGGTGACTACCCGTGTTTGCTCTCTGGAAATTCCAGGCAGTGTGCGTCCAAGAGAGATGGACAATCACGAACTGTGATTCTCCCTGGCAGGCATGTGGCAAGAAGCAGAAACTAAAGGAAGGGATCCTTGGTTTCATCCTAGCATGATATCTGGTTTTAATTGAATGTATTCCATGAAGGATTGAGAAAAATCTCAGTGATTATATGCTTATATTAAAACATAAAATTTTGATTACAAAATGTAGTACTGTTTAAGTGACATGAAGGACATATGGCAATACTTGACGTTTGTATTAAAAGTTCAAGTGGCTCAAAATGCTTAGAACAGTTATGAAATGATGTCACATAATACTTTACCCCAGCATTAAGCTTGATTACAAGTTTTGAGAGCGGTCAAGTCCAAATTGTATAGAAAACAAACCATTTTTCTTGCTTTCTAGTTTCCTTGTAAGGAGAAAACTTTCAATAAAAGTTGATCTAGTAAATCAGAAGTTTCAGAAGTTTACAGTAGTAATTTTGAGTTCATGTCATTAGTTACTGGGTTATCCATAGTAATATTAGCACTTAAGTTATTTATAGCATCTGTAACTTTTTCTCCAATATAAAAATTCTAATATAAGGATCTTAATTTTCATTCTTTTCAAATTACAGTAGATTAATTCCTAGCATGTTTTAAAGTTATGTCCAATGCATATTCATGCGAGTCCAAACTATATTGCACTTTCGTATGCTTTGGAAATTCTTTTGCTTTCATATATTCATGTCTACATTATCTGTATCACTGAGCTCTATCACTTTTTCTAGCCAGTTACAAATGGAGTTCTATTTGAGAACTACTACTCTGACAGAATAACTCATGGGGTGCACTGGGGAAATTCTTTAGATAGGACTTGAAATTCAAATAATTCTCAGTGTTACTTGAATTCCATTTTCAAATGAGAAGCAGAGAATATTTACAGAGTGTCTCATTTGAAAATATTCTACACACAAAACTGTCAAAAACTTCTAAATAGTTACTGGCTCAAAAATTAGTGTCTTAAGAATTTCCATTCACCACAGTGTTTGTAATCAATGTTTGTAATCTCTGTATAATGTTTAGTTATTTTTTTTAAATAGCTCACTCCACGCTTCTCGTCTGGAATTCAGTTTCCTGTGGGCACCTAACTAATTGGATCAAACTAGATTTGAGTTCACTTATTTCCAGATTAGCTTTGTGTTTTCTCTAAAGAAGTTACAAGTGTCATGGGGGGCAGTAATTGCAATTAACTAAAGGAATCTTTGTAGGACCAATTAAGGCCAATTCTTTCCCTATGAACACTGTGAAATTTTGATGAGGAGTCATAATAGATTACATCATTTCCTCTCATCTTCCTTCCTATTTTTATGTATATTTTACGTGATTCAAAGAGACTTAAAGTACTCTTTTATGTCTGCTTTTGCCTTCACTGCCATACTAATGGAAGCTAGAGTCATCTTTTCAGAGTACTAGAAAGGTTTACTTGAATAGCTGAAAGACTTTAAATTCTCTGTAAAGAACAAGTATTTTATTGCATTGTTTGTTTATCTGAGACAAGGGCTCAGCCTGGCCTTGAATTCACCATGTAGTCCGGCCTGGGACCATTCTCTTGGTCATCCTCTTGCTTAGCCTCCCACGTGATAGGATTACAGGTGTGTGCACCTTCCCTTCGAAGGATTTCTAATCAGTGACCAAAAGAGCTGGAAAAAATAAGAGGAAAGTAGAGAAAGGGACTAGACCAGTTAACTCTTAATTCACTCTTAATTCACTCTTCACAATCTTTGACAAGCATCAACAGTCGGATTAATTTTGGCTAAGGTTGAACATGTATCTCCAAATACATCCTGTCTCTTGCTTCTGGTACTTTTTATTTTTTCTTTGACTCAAGTGATTCCTGTTGTTTCTAAATTTTTGTTTAGACCTTTTGAGGATGGAAGGGTTAAAACTCAGACTTAACTCAAGGTGCAGCCATTAGCAAAAGCCTAAGTGTGGGCTGCAGATTGAAATGAACAAGAATTATTACATTTTTTTACACTAAAGCATCATCATAGATCAACTTCTTTGTTAATAATGGACAAACAGTTTACATTTTGGTTTATTCGTATGACAGAATAGTGTTTAACAGTTTAAAAAAAGAACTACTAATATGCCAAGAATCTGTCTGAATTCCAAGTCTTAAATTGAACAAAAAAATTATTCCATAAAAGACAGCATACTGCATAATTCCATTTCTGTGAAGTTTAAGAATAACAAAATTATCTGGGCCTGGTGGTACATACATAAGTCCTCAGCATTCAGGATGCTGAGAGGCAGGAGGATTACAAATTCAAGGCCAGCCTGGGCTACTTTTTGAGGCCTTACTCCCCAAAACAAATGAAAAATAATAGACAAACCTAATCTACAGAGACAGACATATGGTAGCTGCCTGCCAAAGGGTATCCTGGAAAAGAAGCTTTCCAAGATGTCAACAGTGCTCTGCATCTTCATTATTTTAGGGTGTTGGTTTCTCAAAAGGGTACATTTGGTTAAACTTATCCATCTATCTCAAGACTTATGAAATAAAAAAGAACAATATGTTAGATTCCTACTCTTGAGGATAAAGACTTTATGGGTCTTTGTGAAATTATGGTAAAATTCCATGAGTTCAATACAACGTGGCCAAAATCTAAAAGTGCTTCATAGAAGGAACACATGCGCTTTTGGGATTAGTTCATGCTTTAGAATCAAAACATTTAGATGCTAAATAATCATGATCTGATGATACCCGTGCTTCTATAGGATAAGAATTTGGCTTAGTATTGGCATTTGTAACCTCTCAAGAATTCCTTGATTGGGAGAGTCTTGGAATGCAATGAAACTGTCACAATAAAAGTTTATTGATGTTCAGATGTCACTGTTAGAAATATATGGAGGGTAGCAGAATTTCAGATCAGGGATTGTGATGCTCTCTCCCTTGCCTTTATTATCGATTTTCTTTTGCTAGTCTAGACCTCTGCTGGTTCCAAAGGAATTTTAGGATATTTTCCACCTAATTCTGTGAGGCATGCTATTAGAATTTTTATCGTGATGCATTAAGTCTGTGTAACAATCTTGGAAGTATGGCCATTTTCACTATAGCATTTTTGCCTACCAAAAACTGGTATTCTCTTCAATCTCCTTTTTTTGGAGTACAGTACTTTTCAGTACGGAAGTTTTTTATTTCCTTTGTCAGATTGATTCCCAGGTATTTCTTTTTTTTTAATTAAAAAAAAAAGGTTTTTGTGATGCTGTTGTGAAAAGTGTTGTTACCCTAATTATTCTTTCAGTGAATTTGTTTTTTGTGTACAGGAAAACTATTGTTTTTTTTTTTTTTTTTGCTACTGATTATTGAGTGTTGACTTTGTGTCCAGTTATGCTACTGAATTTGATTATTAAATCTAGAAGTCTTTTGGTGGAGTTTTTGGTGTCTTCTATGTAGAATCTTGTTTCATCCACAAAATAATGATAACTCAGCTTCTTCCTTTCTATCTTTATTTCTTTTATTTCTTTCTCTAGTCTAATTGCTCTGGCCAAAGAAATATGTTAAACAGGATTGGTGATAGTGGGCATCCTCCTCTTGTTCCTGATTTTAGAGTGAAAACTTTCAGCCTTTGACCATTTAGTATGATGATGGCTATTGTTCTGTCACAGATAGTCTCTATCAGATTTGAGATAATGATGTTCTATTTCAACTTCTCATATGAATTTATCATAAACAAATGGATGTTGGACTT